GCAGAACTCCTAACTTAAAAATATGCCAATAAATAGAGGCATCAACAAGGCATAAGCCTTCAACTTAATATTTTGCCAATCTAGGCCAACTTAACGAGCATCAGCTCCAACTTGATATGTGGTGTATGTGACATAACATGAATGTAGCAACAACAACAACAAACAACAACTCAACATAAATCAACATTGGCCATAAGCCTACAACATCAACAATAATTCAACATCAACATAATTCAACTTTGGCCATAAGCATACAACATAATATATGCCAAATCAGAGGCATCTCAACATAATTCATCAACCTGCATTTTCTCAACTCAGAACAACTTATACAACACTAATATCGACCAAACTAACACACACAGGCAATAGGAATAGGGAAACTACGTTCCCCTCGACATGCACGACAACAAGGAAGAATAATAACTAACTCAATACTCCTCGACACGCACAGAAACAAGGCAGAATAATAACTAACTTATACTCCTCGGCCCAACCTGCAACTTCATTTCGCTCGATAATAGTACTGTACTCCTCAGCACGCCTTGCAGCCTAATGCCTCTCGACATCCAACACATATATCTTCTGACACACCTTACAACCTAAATGTCGCTCGACACCTAACACCATCAACATCCTCCTCGACCACTAGTTACGGCCAACAACATGGAACAATACAACAACATAACGACCACCAAAACATAATTCATGATCCTTGCCCAACTTCTCAGAATAACACAACAACGAGCAATTATATCTACTTTCAACAGATTCACTAATTGTACAAGACAGTCACACTGAAAGCTTCCTAAAACGACCACAACAATAATTTACTAATTTTCCTGCCAACCGCTCAGAATACCACAGCTTTATAACGACCATAACAACGAGTGATAAACTACCCTAACCTATCCATCGATTATACTGGGCAATCATACAGACAACTCAAAACATCCACTACACGGCTAGCGTCCAACTTCAATAACAGGTTCACTAATCATGTGATATGGTCATACGATGACTCCCTAACTACCACAACATAGAGAAATGGGCAACTTCGATAACAAATCCAGAAACATCAACGCACACAGTCATACAAACGACCAATTCCCACATAATACATATCATAAATCCCATTATAAGGTCAGAACCCCACCCTTACCTAGATTGAAGTTCGCTCAACCAAAGTTTCGGTCGTAATCCTTGCTTTTCTCCGCTCGACACCGGGCAACTTGCTCCTTTCTTCGTGCCGCTCTTATGGTCAGCACACAAAACCTTAATCACCAACTAAATCAAATCCTTGTATCAACTTAACATTATATCCTCAATCCTATTGGGCCTAACTTACACACCACCACTTTACTACTTCCAACCAATAAAATAGCCCAACACTATTATTCTATTAATTCCAACATTGTTATTATCATCAATCAACTAACTAATTAATTAATAACAATATAACAACTTATACCAAAAATTCTCAACATCTCACAACTTCAACAAATAATCCAAAAATAATTTAATTAAATAATTAATTAAATTAACGGGCGTTATAGTGATGGCCTAATGGTGGATGCCTCAAGTGTTCCTCATCCTTCCTTCTCAGTCACAGACCTTCAACCATGGATGAGAATTTAACTTGCCTAAAACAAATAAACATTATACAATTCGAACTAAATGAGGCCCTTAGCCTTGGAAATCATCTCGACCCCTCTATAGACTTCATAATATCCACATTTGGATTGCCTCTGCCTTTCTTAGTGGAATTTTCCTACGATGGATTTACCCCTCCTTTCATACTCAGGGTGTTCAGGTCTACTGTTCTAACCCTCTTTAACTTCATGCTCTCCACATATCATTCTCTATTGATCTTTCAGTTCCTCTAGATAACACTGACCCACTCATCTAGGAGAGGGTACTTCGTGCATAAATATAAGGTGGATAAGGAGGTCCATAACTAGTTAAAGCTAGACCACCCTATGATCATATTATATGATGAGGTTGTATCAATAACCAAATATACTACCTTGAACTGCTTGGTGTTTCCTCCTGCTCCAGAAGTTAATCTCCAACATTATGTAGCCCCTTACCTTTACTAATTTGCCTAAAAAAACCCAAGTAATCGCCAGAAGGGTTTTAGGTCCTTCATATCCAAGTGGAGCCTCTAAATTGCATCCTTGTAGAGGATGTTCGCGAAGCTTTCTGTTCAATCAAGACTTTTTATTTTTATTTTTAATTGTTGCAACAAAAATAGATAACTATGAATTCATCATTGTGCGGGTGCACACCAACGACATCCTTCTCGGAGAAGATAATCTTGGCATCATAAGCCTCTGAATCGCCTTCTTAGAAGTTAATGGGAGAGTCGTCAACAGTTAGGACATGGCAAGCTTGTTCCTCGTGGGTGGGACAGGAAATCCCAAACTCTGTGAATCCTCTCGTGATAGTGTTGAAGGAATGGAAAATGCATTTGTCCTCACCTCCTTTAGCTGGATACTTACCCTTATTAGATCCTTGACTGTTTGAGGAGTCTCACCCTTAAGAATTGGATTCGCCTAATCCTTTAGAAGAGCCTCACTTGTTGTATTTCTTCAAATGACCTTCTTGGATGAGGCATTCTATCTCCTTTTTAAGCCGATAATAGTCTTCTGTTTGATGTCCCTTGACCTTATGAAACTTACACCAATTGTGATCATATCCCATGAAGTCTATCTTGGGAGCTACATGTTGATGTCCCATGACCTTATGGAACTTACACTAACTGTGAAGATCATATCCTATGAAGTTTGTCTTGGGAGCTACCGATTAGGGAATATTATGCATTATATGACCTCTCGCTATATTTGTTCTAGCGGGCATTTAGTGGAGTGAAAATTTCAATGGACTTTCCACTTTGCTTGAATGTAGCTCTATCTCTCATGGGAGATGTATATTGATTCCTTCACGAGCGGTTTGCACCACGAGTGCGCTTGTTTGTATCACATGAGCTGTCTACGCCACGAGTGTACTCGTTTGCATCGCACCGTATTGAAATGCTCTTACGAAATTTTATAATTGGGATGAACTACTTTAATGTTTGTTTCGTTGAAGCGTGCGAGATATTCCCTCAATGACTATGATGGGCCCTAGTGTATGTTGAATATACTGGTGGAAGTCAGCTTCCGGTGTCTGTTTACCGACGAATTAGTGGACTAGCTTCTTAACCAGGTCTTGATTGTTGGGGATATAGAGTGTAGAGATGCCCATATACCTTCTTAGGGTTTCATTCCTAAAGGTGTCAGACAAAAGCTTGCACTTCAAGGATTCAGGTGCTCCAATGATGGCCATCTGAGTGTTGATGGATGCCACATGCTCATATGGATTGTTGTGTCCATCAAACTTAGCCAATGATGGTGACTTAAAATTCTCTGGGATAGGCGCCACCTATTTCTCGTCAGGTAGAGGTTGGGAAGTTCATCCACCATATTTGTTTCTTGCTGGCGCTGCAGGATATGAAGAACGTTATCCTCCAAGGTTTTCTTCTATCGAAGAAGTCATCCACAACACCATACATCTTTTTTATGACACTTTCTTTGCCATCCGACTCCTTGCTGGTTGGAGTCGTTGTCTTTTTATTCACCATGATGTAGGATGACCTCAAAGACAATACTCCAGTTGAATGTTGTGAGGGTGACCCGAGACAGTTTTATCGGGGTCCCACGATGGACTCTAATTGCGCTCGCTAAAAGTACAAATGTTTGATAGCCCCTAATGGATAAGGGTTATCATAATCTTTAGGGTTGGTATGTTATTGAGAGATAACACACGTGATGTGAGAAGCTAATGTATTTGTGTGTTTTCTCTGAATCGCTAGTTCGTCCTTCTTCGTTACGATATCGAGGTATTTATAATTTTTTGGGTCTGGATCCTCGTATTCCTAGAATAGTGTAAACATTCCAAAAGAGGGTGGTTGGTTTTCTGAAACCCATGGAGCGTGGTTGAGTCTCACAATCTGTAATGCCACGTCTGTTGACCCGACACATGATTCTACACACAATTATGCATTATAGACGGGGCTTCCATATTGCAGGCGGCATATCTGAAAAAGGGGCACGTGATTCTAAACATGGACACTTGACTCCTAAAACAGAGAATTGGAAAGATCGAGCGACATAGTGTAAACCTTCGTCCTTCTCTAACTCTTTTCATTATATTACTACATATCCACATAGGTCTTAAAAATATTGATGAAGCTCCAAAAATTAGTAAAATGTATGAGATTATTAAACTAAATATAATTCATATATGCTAAATTCTTTTGTTCAAATTGTACAATGCAAAAGTTTATTTTTGTTTTTGTCTATTGAACTGTACAATTTAGACAAATCTTGTCTAAACTATGCAATCTAGACAAGAAAAGTTAGATGATTTGGGAAAAAAATTGGTGCACCTTTTGTAAAAAGAAATGTGAACATAGATTGATATCAGTAGAGACCAAAATCAAACTCAAGCCCATTCATATAGTCTTAGACTCGTTCAACAGCCTCCAGCTTGGAATCATTTTGACCAAAAAACAAGGTTTTGAAATCGTGTACCTCAAGTTTTGACAATAAATAAACAAAGATAGAATAAGAACAACAAACACACTTGCATGTCAGAAAGTTGAAATCTATAGCATACATAAATCAATAAACTAACCATTTCAACCAAAGTAATGTATAGTATGTATACTATTACGTATATATATGATGTGAAAACATAGAAATTGAAGGGAAATTTCAAGGTTTGCACCGCTCTTGTTGAAAACTTCAAACCGCGGATTTTGGTCAACTACTAAACAAACAAAAAAAAAGAAAAAAAACATCATCTTATATTTATATATAAACATTAAACATGTCTTTCATTTTCATTAAGCATATTCTTCATTCTCATTAAACATCACCTAATCAATCTTCTTCATCCTTAAACATCTTCGTTTCTCTTCAATCCTTTGAAACTTCATCGATTTATTTTTGATTATAATGGGTAGTATTCCTACTAGCCACATGATACTAAAGTTGTGCTTGTACATAACTTTAATTCTTGTAGTGAGTTTTGACAACACAAGTGCAGCAAGAAAACTACTACAAAGAGGTCCGGTGAAAGGTTCGACGAGGAATCCATGCTCCACCGTTCCTGGCCGGAGTAAAGGACGGTGTACTTTGGCTGAAATTCATGTAGCCGGACATGTTAACATAGCTCACGCGCCACCACTAGGGTTTCATGGAGATATAGTTATTCCCCCCAAGTTTGAAATTGGAGCAGCTAGCTCTCATTAGTAGATAGCATCCCAGAAGAAGAGATGATCAAGATTTTTATTTTTTTTATTGTTTTATATACAGATTTTTTTTGATACAGATTTAATTTTTGGTACACAGATCTTGTTATTACTTGTCAAAGACAGAGAATTAAAACTAACTGTATTATATCATTTTTTTGTATATTATAACACACTCATTCTTATTATTACTTTTTCAAATTTACTATATTCATACATGGTTGGTGAAAACAACAAGTATTAATTCTCATATTGGACACACTTCATGTCGTTTGATACGGTATCTAGTCAAATTATTATATACAAGAAAATTGTTGATTGTAGAAAATAATATTATACGCATTTTAAATTTTTCATAAAAATATATATCATCAATGTTAATGTTTTCTTTTCACAAAAGTGTTAAATCTTCAATTAATAAATTTAGTTAAATATTTACGTCGTTTTTAGGTTGTCTTGATTCAGAAATCATCATTCTTAACCTCATATATCTACGTTTCATATTCAACCAAAAATATAAATTGTAAATCGTGAGAAGAAGAGATCACGAAATATAATTAGTTTTCAATTTATCAAAAGAGTTAGTTCATTCTATCTATGAAAAAGCTGAAAATCGAATCTAAAAACATAGAATTAATTTGAAATAATTTAATTTGTTACTTATTGAACGTAATAATTTAATTTACAGTTTTTTAATGTCATTTTTTGATAGTTTTTAAATTGATATTGATGATATATTAAAAGGTCAAAGATAGTAATTGAGAAATAATTGAAGAGGTAGCATACTCTTTTGATATAAGGGGTAGTGGACTAATAATACTACATAAATATATTTTAAAAATCAATCATTATAATTAGAATTTTTTTTTAATAATTATAAAAAATAGTTAATATTTTGCAAAAATAAAGAGAGCCAATGTTTGTGATAGTGCACTAATAATATTATATAAAATTTGGAAAAACCAAAAAAAAAAAAATACAAAATTTGTAAGTAATTCAAAAATAGAATATTATGCAAAACAAATAATTATATGTAATGAAAAATATCTTAGAAAAAATATTACATTATTTTTACAATGCTTTATTCCATAATTTGTAAACTCTTATATTTAAATAACTTTTAAAATATACATTTTAAACTACACCTCATACAACTGTTGCGTATATAATTTTATTAATTTAGTAATAATTTAGTCATGTATGAAGACAATGTATTAATGTTGTAATGATAAATTAGTTTAAATTAATTATAACTAAAATATTTTTATTAATAAAAATTAGTAGCAAACAATTAAATTTTATTAATTTTTATTTAATTCTTATTATTAGTAAGAAGTAAATATTATTTTTAATTGAGGATTTGATTTATGTATTTTACTGTGTTTATTTCAGATGTTCTAAATAAGTAATTATTATATTGAAATAATTAAATTGTAACAATTTAATTGATTACTTTTAATGTTATATTATTATTATTATTAGATTGATGATAATGATACATTAAGAGGTTAAAGTTATCATTTGAGAAATAATTGAAAAAAATAACATACTCTTTTGATATAGGTGGTAGTTGTTAGAATTAATTTAGATTTTATAATTAATTAGATATTAATTTATATTTAGGAATATCTTTTAGATTGTTTATATCTTTGTTAGAAGATATAAATCTTAGATCTTCTTATATCTTTGTAAAATATATATTTTAGATTTAATTTGTGTGTATAAATAGCCTAGTGGAGTAGCTTAGTGTAATTCATTGTAAATCCTTATTTTTGAAGCTATCAGTAAATATTCTTTTTGCCTTTTATCTTTCTTGTACTCCAACAATTGGTATCTAGAGCTCCGGTTCAAAATCCACGGAAAAAGAAGTATTGTGATTAAGAATTATAATATTCTGATTCTGGGAAATTCTGCGTAAATTGCATAAGGTAGAAGATCGATGAACGGAAACGATGGCGATGTTAATTCCAAGCTTCCAGTATTTGATGGAAAAAACTGGAATCGTTGGAAGATCCAGATGCGCGTGTTATTTGGCTCTCAAGATGTGCTAGAACGTGTTACTGATGGCTATAATCTGTTAGAAGCAGATTTAACAGAGGCACAGAAGATAGCACAGAAGGCGCTGAGGAAGAAAGATCAGAAAGCGCTGTTCTACATCCATCAATGTGTGGATGTGAATGTGTTTGAGAAGATTGCTGATTCTGAAACAGCAAAGGTTGCGTGAGACACACTAGTCAGATGTTTCGGTGGTGACGCATCAATGAAGAAGGTGAAACTTCAGTCTCTCAGAAAGCAATATGAGAATCTCAACATGAAGGACAACGAGAAGGTTTCTGAATACATCTCTAGAGTGATTCTGATCACTAATGAGATGAAAGCTTGTGGAGAAATTCTGTCTGAACAAGTAATTATTGAGAAGATCTTGAGATCTTTAACTTCTCAGTTTGATTACATTATTGTAGCAATTGGACATTCCAAAGATCTGAGCACCGTGAGAATTGAAGAGCTGCAAAGTAGTCTAGAGGCGCATGAGTTGCGTATGACTGCAAGAACTTCTGAGAGGGAAGTAGAGCAGCAGGCTCTAAAGGTAACTTCTAGTAAGAAGCATCAGAAGAAAACTTGGTCAGAAGCCAGAAAGAAAACTAATGGTGGTCAAATGTCAGAAGCTTCAAACTCTGATAGGAAGAAGAATGTCCAGAAGAGAAAGGAGAAGTCTGACAAGAAGAATGTTCAGTGTTACTATTGTAGAAACTTTGGTCATTATGCCAAAGATTGCTGGTCAAACAAAGAAAGGAAGTCAAAAGAAGCAAATGTAGCCAGAGGAGATTCAGATGATAAACCTGTGCTATTTATGGCTTATGAATCTGATGAGGAACCAGTGAAATTGTCATTTTCTGATTCTGAAGGGGAAGAAGAATATGACTCTGAATATTCTGATTTTGAAGGAGTGATTTTGTATGAGTCGGAATCAGAATATGACTCGAGTTAGAATCAGATGACGACTTTGAAGATTTTAAAGATGAGTCAGATACTGAGGTTTCTGAAGATGAGTTAGAGTCAGAAGATGACTCTGAAGCTGAAGACAAGTCAGAATCTGAAGGTGATTCTGAGTCTGAAGAAGATTCTGCTTCTGAAGAAGAGTCAGAAGATGATGATTCTGGAAACTCTAAAGGTGAGTCAGATGGTGAATCTGATTCTGATCCAGATTTTGATGATGATCCAGAATTTGGTGGTGATCATGCTTCTAGAAGGGAAAACTCTAAAGACGTAGGTTCTGGAGGACAAGCTTCTAAAGATGATCATGTTTCTGGTAGAAATCATGATTCTGAAAGTGGAACTTCTGAAGGAGGAGCTTCTGAAGGAAATTCAGCCTTTGACGATGATCATGATTCTGAAAGTGGAACTTCTGAAGGCAGAGGTGGTCCAACTTTTGAAGATGGTATTTCTTAAGGTAGTTGTTCTGAACGTTGTCCAGAAACTAACAAAGTTGAGTTCAGAAGAGACGTCATTGTAGAGGAATCAGAAGTTTGGAATTTGGAAAAGTCTCGTCCTGACTGTGATGACATAACTTCTGAAGAAAGGTCAGAAATACATGTTTATGAAGTTGGTAAAGACTCTGACTCTGAAGAAGATACAGAAGGAGAATATGATTCTGACTCTGACTCCGATGGTGATCCAGACTCTAAAGACAGTCAAGATTCTGGAGAAAGTCCAATTTCTGAAGCAAGTGCTTCTGAAGGGGAAAGTTCTGGTGTCCAAAGTTCTGAAGGTCCAGTTCAGAGGCAACAAAGAGTCAGAAGCATCCCAAGAAGATTTGTAGAGTGTGTAATGATTGAAATAAACACATAGAAAGGAGGTATCATTTTTTTAGGGGTCAAGTCAACAAAGGGAAGTTGGAGATAGAACACTGCAAGACAGAAGTGCAACTAGCTGACATATTTACCAAACCTCTGAAGAAAGTCAAATTCGACGAGTTAAAGAAGCACCGAGATGAGAAGTCTTGAGAACATGAATTACGGGGTGTTAGAAGTGTAATTCTTGTTCTGTCGAAATGTATGTGATGGTGTATGTTGAATACCTAGTTGAATGAGTTGCAAGTTGTATTCGACAGATTCGAATACAACGGCTATGTAGTTAGTAGAAATTAAGAATGAGCTATAGCATAATGAGTCGAATTGGGCCTGAATAATGTATGCCTATATAAATGACTTGTAAGTTTGCAATTTTACATTCAACACTCACATTCAATATAGTTACAATTCAGTTAGAATCATAAGAAACTTTTTATCTCTCTCTTCTCTTTCTTCTTATTCTTCTCTTTTATAAATCATCTTTCTTGAAAACTCTTTATTCCACCAATCCGGTAAAAACTTCGACGAAGAATCTGTGTTCCACCGTTCCTGGCCGGAGTAAGGAACAATGTACCTTAGCTGAACTTCTTGTCCACGGACATGCTAACATAGCTCACGCCCCACCACTACACTTTCATGAAGATATAGTTATTCCCAAGTTTGAAGTTGGAGCAGCTAGCTCCCATTAATAGATTGCATCCAAAAAGAAGAGATAATTATTTTTATTGTTTGATACACATATTTTTTTTTATACACAGATCTTGTTATTACACTTGTCAAAAACATAGAATTGAAACTAACTATATCTATAAACTTTGTATATTAACACATTCATTCTTATAACTACTGTATTATTTTATGGACAATTTTCAAATTCACTATATCAGATTCACACATTTGTTCTTTTTTTTTTTAATAATAAATTAAAAAGAAGTATATCATGGTAATTATATATTGAAGCCGCGTGGTTGCGCGACAGTGTGTAGGTTTTGAATTTTTCATGCCAAAAGGGTTGACTTTTATATTGTGAAATAGAACTTGAATACTTCAACTTCAACTTCCAATGTTTGAATTGAATTATCTAGGCTATTTGGAAAAATGCGGTAAGTCTTCCTTTTTAAAAAGATTTTGCATTTTATATATATATATA